AATTGTATCTTTCCCCAAAGCCCTGCTTCTGTACATTTGGCTCTGCGTAGCTCTTTGTTTTCCTTTCGTTTGTTCAGATGTTTTGGTGCAGATGTGCAGTGAGTGATCGTCTGCTGCTCCTCAACTTCTAGACTCTCAATTAATTTGATTTAAAAACTCTGCTGTTGCCATGGAGATCAGAGAGTGTCGCCGTGGAGACAATAAAAGAGTTTAGCTTCATTCAGCCGCTGGGTTTCTGGATGTGTTTCAGTGAGCCGTGACAGACAGACGCTGCTTCATGCGCTCCACTCCTGATGTCATGTCATGTAACGCCTGTCAATATATATATTTTTCCTCCATGTGGTGAAAATATAATGAAATTCTGCCATAAACTAATGTCATACAGTAACATTTAAAAGTTTGGATTTTTAATGTTTGTGAAAGAAGTTTCTTCTGCTCACCAAGGCTGCATTTATTTTATCAAAACCAGTAAAAATTGTGAAATATTACTAGAATTTCAAACAGCTGTTTTCTATGTGAATATCTGTTAAACTGTAATTTATTTCTGTGATGCGCAGCTGTATTTTCAGCATAATTACTCCAGTCTTCAGTGTCACATGATCTTCAGAAATCATTCTAATATGCTGATTTGCTGCTCAAGAAACATTTCTGATTATTATCAATGTTGAAAACCGTTGTGCTGCACAATATTTTTGTGGAAACTGTGATACATTCTATTTATCAGGATTCACAGATGAATAGAAAGTTCAGAAGAACAGCATTTATTTGAAACAGAAATATTTTGTAACATTATAAATGTCTTCACTGTCACTTTTGAACAACTGAATGCATTAATTAAAAGAAAAAATACTGACCCCAAACTTTTGAACATTAGTGATACATATATATATTTTTAAATATTTTTGTCTGTCCAGAAAATTTTTTACTCATTATGGAAACTTTGAATTAACCACCAACTATGACTTTTAGGAACATCTCTCAACACGTCTCAACACTTTTGCTCTTTTTATTGTTTTATCATCATACCTGCTTAATTTCATGGGAAATCAGTATGTTTTTGTTATTAATTTTAATTTAAGTGACACACAGGTATTACAGTAAAAGTTCAGGATCTCATCATCTCAGATCTGCAGGTAGTTTAGCTGTGTTATGGATGTGTGTGTGTGTGTGTGTGTGTGTGTGTGATATATAACTGCAGTGTGTCTCCGGATCTTCCTCAAATACTCTATTTTCCACTCCGGCTCAGTGAGGATTCTGGGAAAGGCCTTCATTATTGTGCTGGTTTCAGTCAGCGCTCGTGAGCTTCTGCTGGAGCCGCTGTATAAATAGAGCCTGAGTCCTCTCTACTGACCCCAGATCAGCGTTGAGTGACACCAGAGCTGGATTCACCCTCATGACGGGACAGAAGCGCTGATGGTTTCATACGGTCGTAATGAGCTCGTTCTGTTTAATGTGCCTTCACTGCCTGTGAGTGTGTGTGTGCCTAATATTCCCTGTGTTATGGGGAATAAATATCCTCACAAGGGTAATAACACCAGTAAAAGAGGTAGGGTTAGAGTAAGGGGATAGAAAATACAGTTTGTACAGTAGAAAAACCATTAAGCCTAAGGAACGAACCCATAAAACATGGAAACCACTGTGTGTGTGTGTTTCCTCAGGACTGAGTGTTCACTCTAATGATGTGGTGTTTGTGAATCAGCTGGAGCTTTAGCTGTTTATGGTTCAGCATTAGTTTAAGTGAGCATGTGAACGTCTGCTGGGACTTTTTCAGTGTCACAGATGGAGATGTGAGTTAATGGAACTAGTAAATTATATTGAAGCATTTATAGTAAAAAAAAAATCACCGTACTGACCATATTTCAACTGTAGTTGTGGTTCATTGAAGCAGCATGATGAATCCTCAGGGCATCTGCAGCACAAATAGCATTAAAGGTCAAGACACTACAGGTGCAACCAACGTTTGACTGTTTTTCTTTTTCTTTTGTTTTGCACTGGTCAATGTTGAGATTTTTTGGTCTGTTTTGCTTCCGTAACATGTCTCTTCATTCAGACCAGTGGAAAGAAAACATCCAAAATACACATTTAAGTGTTTATTTTATTGCACTTTATCTATTTTTGTCTGTAGACTTCAATTCTAATCCTTTAAAGAGTTTTTTCTCTTACAAACACCAAACTTTACAGTTTTATTCCTAGCTATATTCTGAAGGCTTTTACTGAGTGGTTTGTTAATATCCATCCATCCATCCATCCAATCCATCCATCCATCCATCCATCCATCCATCTAAAGAACTAAATTTATTTACTTACAATTAGCAATTATGGCAATTATGATGCATGCAATCTTAAAATATTCCATGGAAATCAGCAGGCAATTTATTCTAAAAGGATTTCAGGCCTGTCATTTTTATGGGTGCAGACAATGCACGGTCTGTCTCACTACATGAAATCATGGCATGAGTGAGTTAGAGAGGGACTCGTGGAGGAAAACTGTTTGCAAGAGCTTCTGGGGAGATGAAAGAGAAAATTTTAATACGGAAAGGTCAACACTTTCTCCATTATGTCAAATTTCATTACAGAGAAGACAGCCATCTCTACCATTGAGGTTAGACTTAATGCATCCAAATTGCAGCAATTACGATTTCATTTTAAAACATCCTTTTTTTCCCCCAAGACAATGATTATTGCTATACATAATCATTTTATGAGTAAGAAAAGAGATCGCAAGAAAAAACAATTCTGTTCTTCCTCTAGGGAAATACAAAAGGACTAAACATTTTATTACGTCTACTTCCACCCAGAATGGATTTTAGACAAAAAAAAAAAAAAGTTATTAGTACATGTACTTAGTGCTCAGAAATGAGTCACTTGCCATATAAAAACCCACCTGTCTAATCTATCAAGCACTCAACCTTGAAAATATGTCGGAAAGAGAAAAAAAGACAATGATTCCTGTCTCATTTCTTTAAGGCACTTCAAGGCAACCTTTCCATCCATCCATCCATCCATCCATCCAACCATCCATCCATCCATCCATCCAATCCCATCCATCCATCCATCCATCCATCCATCCATCCATCCATCCATCCATCCATCCAATCCCATCCATCCATCCATCCATCCATCCATCCATCCATCCATCCATCCATCCATCCATCCATCCATCCATCCATCCATCCATCCATCCATCCATCCAATCCCATCCATCCATCCATCCATCCAATCCCATCCATCCATCCATCCATCCAATCCCATCCATCCATCCATCCATCCAATCCCATCCATCCATCCATCCATCCAATCCCATCCATCCATCCATCCATCCAATCCCATCCATCCATCCATCCATCCAACCATCCATCCATCCAATCCCATCCATCCATCCATCCATCCATCCAATCCAATCCCATCCAATCCAATCCCATCCATCCATCCATCCATCCCGATTTATAAAATGATAAAAAGTGAAATCCAAACTAGAAAAACCTTTATGTTAACAAATAATTTTGAACCTGGCTTTATCCAATCTTCATATTTCTGTTCTGGAAATATATGCAAATTAGTGTGTATTCCATTAGATCATCCCTCATTTGCATACTTAAACATAACTTTTCAGAAAGCTTGTAATATAAAACACTTGTCATAATGTTCCGTGATGAATCAGCTGCTGAAGTGTGGTGAGATCTGTTCACCTCCAGCATCTCGACTTGAAAGAAATAACTTCTCATTCTTGAATACTGACTAAATGAGTTTGTAAACAGACTGACGTGTCGGTGTGTTGAACCTGCTGCTGCTGGATGAATGAGGTGAGCGCTTCACCTGAGGAGGTGTTACTATGGTAACGGAGCAGCTCCACTGCCCACCTGTGCCTCACATTCACTGCAGCTTACCTGACATTCGTTTGAACTCTTTGAACATTTGAGGATGATATTATAAACATTAGTTTTAAAGAAAGGCATAATTTTCTCCCCCTCATTTGGTTTCAAACCTGTATGACTGTCTGTCTTTCTTTCCTCTGTGAAACACTAAAGGAGTCGTTCAGCAGAACGTTCACGCTGCTCTTTTACAGCGCATGAGCTGATGCTGCTGAGCTCCGGAAATGAATTCAGTATCAACTCAGACAGACTCTGTGTTTTACACCTAGAAACTCTCTAAAGCTGCTTTGGAACAATAAACATTTTGACGAGCGCTAGACAAATAAACAAAGAAACGCAGATGAAGACGAATCCTCGGGAGCTGGCGCTCATCTGGTGACACACGTTCATGCAAACACACACAAAACTGTTCACATAGTGTTATAGAATCATCATTTTGATTTATTTAATAGAAAAATAACACCGGTTCACTTCAAAAAATCAACTTCAAACTTTCAAATGGTAGTCTATGATTTATGTTTTTGAAAAAAGTCTCTTCTGCTCACCAAGGCTGCATTTATTTGATCAAAAATACAGTAAAAATCTGAAATATTGTTACAATTTCAAATAGCTGTTTTCTATGATGCGCAGCAGTCTTCAGTGTCACATGATCTTCAGAAATCATTCTAATATGCTGATTTGCTGCTCAAGAAACATTTCTGATTATTATCAGTGTTGAAAACAGTCGTGCTGCACAATATTTTTGTGGAAACTGTGATACATGTTATTTTTCAGGATTCACAGATGAATAGAAAGTTCAAAAGAACAGCATTTATTTGAAATAGAAATCATTTGTTACATTATACATGTCTTTACTGTCACTTTTGGTCAATTTAATGCATCCTTGATGAATAAAAGTAGTCATTCCTTTCAAAAAATTAAATGTTACTGACCCTAAACTTGTGAACGCTAGTCAATGTATTTTTCTTATTGTTATAGCATGTGAATTGATGTGATATGCATATATTAGCGGTTCATACTAACACATTCTCTCTCTCTCTGTTGGTTCATTCTGACAGAATGTGTTGGTTTATTGGTTGTGGTGATGTTTTCTCTTTGTCTGCGCTGTGTTCTCCTTAACTGGTGTACGTGGTTCGAGCGAGTCAGTATGATGGTGATCCTGCTGAACTGTGTGACGCTGGGGATGTACCAGCCCTGCGAGAACATCGACTGCTCCTCCGAACGCTGCCAGATCCTGCAGGTCAGTCTGAAACAGAAACCTGATTCTTCGGCAGAAGCCTGTTAATGAGCCGTTCGGTTCATTGATCAGCTCTTTCTGATCTCGTGAGGTTTCAGCATAACTAACCCGTTAAACGCTTCAGATCTAATATTCAAACACACACTCAGATGATTCCGGATCATCAGCATCATCTAGAGACTCGTCATCAGAGCTTCATGTTAATTAGCTGATCATTAGACTCTGTTGATGTCAATTGATTTCATTGCACAGCTGATTTCTCTCTGTCTCTCAGGCCTTCGACGCCTTCATCTACATCTTCTTTGCGCTGGAGATGGTGGTGAAGATAGTGGCTCTGGGGATCTTCGGCCGGCGCTGTTATCTGGGAGACACCTGGAACAGACTGGACTTCTTCATCGTGATGGCCGGGTGAGCACACACACACACACACAGACACACACACACATACACACACACACTCACGCATGCACACAGGCACGCGCACACACACAGACACACACACACATACACACACACACTCACGCATGCACACAGGCACGCGCACACACACAGACACACACACACATACACACACACACTCACGCATGCACACAGGCACGCGCACACACACAGACACACACACACATACACACACACACTCACGCATGCACACAGGCACGCGCACACACACAGACACACACACACATACACACACACACTCACGCATGCACACAGGCACGCGCACACACACAGACACACACACACATACACACACACACTCACGCATGCACACAGGCACGCGCACACACACAGACACACACACACATACACACACACACTCACGCATGCACACAGGCACGCGCACACACACAGACACACACACACATACACACACACACTCACGCATGCACACAGGCACGCGCACACACACAGACACACACACACATACACACACACACTCACGCATGCACACAGGCACGCGCACACACACAGACACACACACACATACACACACACACTCACGCATGCACACAGGCACGCGCACACACACAGACACACACACACATACACACACACACTCACGCATGCACACAGGCACGCGCACACACACAGACACACACTCACACATGCATGCAGGCACGCGTGCGCACACACACACACACACAGACACACACACACACACACACACTCAACGCTCTCGGTTCAGATCAGGAGTGATTCAAGTGCTCTAGAGTTTCTCCATTCACACATTCATCTCTGTCTCTTCTGTTACACTGAACCCGTGTGTTTTATTTGTGTAGACAGTCTAGTCTGTGTTCTGTATGATGGCAGATCTCCTGATCGGTGTGTAAATGCAGGACAGATGGAGATCTCTGACACGTGTGTGGTGTGTGTCTGCGTGTGTGTAAACATGTTGAGCGTATGATCAGCTGTCAGAGATCATCAGAGCAGCTGTGTGTGTGTTTGAGGAGCTTCAGAACAAACAGTGTTGAAGAGCAAATGTATAAAACACCACCTGTACTGTATTACACTGTACAGATGAACTGTGTGTTTATAGCGTGTGTGTGTGTGTTCAGGGTGGTGGAGTATTCTCTGGACCTGCAGAACATTAACCTGACGGCCATCCGGACGGTGAGAGTCCTGCGGCCGCTCAAAGCCATCAACAGAGTCCCCAGTGAGTCTGATCTCAAACGTGCCTCTGTTTCAGCTGATTGCATGTGATTCATCAGTGCTGAATCATAAAGGATTCATGGACGTCGGTCTGTCAGGAGACTCAAACCCCCCTGAGAAACCATTAGCTGATGAGACGCGCTGGCTTTAACGCTGGACCTACAGAGAACCGAGAGCCTGATGAAGGCAGGAGGAAACGACACGAACAACCCAGAGACAAACAACACAATAAATGAAGAGTCTTCTGTGTCCTAGACTTCTGTTGTTTTTATCAGGGTTTCTGCGGATCTTAAAAAGTCTCGATCTGCATTTTCACTTAAATCAGAGCAGAAAGTCTTAACTTCAAAGTCATGACATTCAGTGTCACATGCAATAAAAAAAAAAAAATTTATATCATTCTCAGTATTTTTTATGTCTTTCGATTTAAATATCCAAATATCCTTTAAATCAAAATGTGTTTACTTCACATGCGAATTGCAGATGTGAAGTCTTGTTTTCTGAAAAACTGAACAAAAAGAGTTTATGCTTAAAACAAGAACAAATATCGGTCCGTGCGATATTAAAACCTGTTTTCCCTTTGAATTAAGTTGATTTTTTTGCCTATATTGACCTATATATTTTTTTCTTGTTTTAATCATAAAGTCACTTCATTTTGATCAGTTTCTCAGAAAACAAGACTACAGTGCAATTTTGCCTCTCCAGTAAATGTATCTTAATTTAAGAATCTTTGCCCTGAAAAGCAAGACAAAACTACTAAGGAAGAACAGCTTTTTTCCACTTTGATCAGTAGGTGCAGTAAAAATATTTCCATATTTTGTAAAATGAATTCAAAAGTAACAGAGATCTGTTGAAAGTTGTGTTTTCAAATGTTGAAGTGTTGCTTTTAAATTTAGAAACCAGGTTGACCTATAGTTCAGTTCAATTCCATTCAGTTTAATCCTTAAATTCTCTTTACATGGTCTTAAAAAGCCTTAAATTGACCTCAACACCTGCAGAAACCCTGTTTTATGTACAGCTAGTTCTAAATACTGTAACCTAACCATAACAGAAAACATTTCGCATTTTTACAAAAAAAAAAAAAAAAACTTTATTTACTTAACTTTTATAGCGCTTTTACAAATGAGGATGTCTCTAAAAAGAGTTTTTTAGCAGGTTTTGTCAGGGTTATCTCACTTCTTCTCACAAATGAAGTCAGTGTATGTGTGTGAAAGCGCTCTGATCATGATTCACAGCACATCCAAAACACATTCGTGACCCTGGAGCACAAAACCAGTCTTAAGGGTCAATTTTTTGAAATTGAGATGTTTACATCATCTGAAAGTTGAATAAATAAGTTAGGATAGGACAATATTTGGCTGAGATACAACTATTTGAAAATCTGGAATCTGAGGGTGCAAAAAAATCGAAATATTGAGAAAATCATCTTTAAAGTTGTTCAAATTAAGTTCTTAGCAATGCATATTACTAATCAAACATTAAGTTTTGATATATTTACAGTAGGACATTTACAAAATATCTTCATGGAACATGATCTTTACTTAATATCCTAATGATTTTTGGCATAAAAGAAAAGTCGATAATTTTGACCCATGCAATGTATTGTTGGCTATTGCTACAAATATACCCCAGCGACTTAACACTGCTTTTGTGCTGCAGGGTCACATTTCAGCTCAGCTGATGAAGCTTTGAACACACTGCTGAGTCATTTAGAGCCACGATGAACCGACACAAATGAATCGTCATTTCTAAACACAATCACGACCGGTGACGTCTGCGTGATCTTCTTCTCTAACCTGAGATTAAGACTTTAACCAGTCGATTCCTCATGGAGAAGAAGTGTCTCATAACCTCCCAGACTCTCAGTAAAGTTTCTTCAGCTGGGCTGGATGTGATTCGCTCGTTATTTAGATGCTTTGACTTCACCTGCGCTCTGAAAACACACCGTGTGACGGCTCCAAACTACAGGACAACATCTGAGTGAACGTGGAGCCGCTAGTGAGGAGATCAGAGAGAAACGCCTGCAGAGATTTCATGTCAGAAAGTTCTGCTCCTGGAAAGTTCATCCCCAAACGGAGCTCGTTTGCATTTGAAGTTGCAACTCAAATCAAGTTGAAGAGTTCATGGTTTATTGCAGTTTTTGTGATGGAAATGAAAGGCCCTTCTGATTTGGTCTGATGATTTGAGATCTTTCAGCCTGAGGAAGGGCAGATGTTGGTGTTTATTATGGTGTTCTGTGTGTGTGTAAGGCATGAGGATCCTGGTGAATCTGCTGCTGGACACGCTGCCGATGCTGGGGAACGTGCTGCTGCTGTGCTTCTTCGTCTTCTTCATCTTCGGCATCATCGGTGTGCAGCTCTGGGCTGGACTTCTGCGCAACCGCTGCTATCCGGAGGAAAACTTCACCCTGTGAGTCAGCTGATTTTAATTCAGGTTTAGTCTGTGTTAAATGTCCTTTTTAGTTTTTTTTTTTGGTTAGTCAAGTTTTGTTTGGCTAAAAGTCTGGAATTTTAGTCAGTTAAAACACATTTTAGTCATGCTGCATGATGGTTAAACTGACTTGATGCTCAAAATTATAATTGCAATTACTGACCATGATTGCTGTAATTTGAGAAATGGATTATTGCACTTTCACCTATAAGCACAAATCAAGAGAATGTCGACTCACACACATGCTTTATTTGACCTGTTTTACTTTATTGTCAGAAATATGAACACTCTCTCTACTTTATGAAAACTGGTAAAGCTTCTCACAAAAGCTTCCTAAGATTAATTTCCAAGAATTCCAAATTTATTCATGTCTTTTTCTATTAAAGCAACAACAAAAGGCTTTGTATTGTGGCACAGAGGTGCGTACGTGCATTCATTCACCCTCAGTCTCAAACAATACAGTCGAGATCATGTTTGGATTTATTACAGAGAAGGTTTGATGGCAGATTTAGTCGGCTGTGTGAATGAACACACACTGGATGTATGACACTGTTATTCGAGCAGAATATCTCAATAGAGATCGCTAAACTCCAGCTTGCATGTTTGTTGATGTTTTCTGATCATCAGTGTGTTTTCTCTAATGCAGAGAGAGTGTGTGCGAATGGTTGCCAGGTTGGGAGGATTAATTAAACACAGGGAAGAAAATGTGTCATTTTAAGAGAGAAGCTCTGATTGGGGGGTTTAAACTCGAGACGTCTGGCAACCGCAAGCATGACAACTTGTGGAGGTCTAGATTTTTATCTCCTCTTTTTTTTTGTTGGAGACTTTTTATTTTTGAAATGACATTTTAGTCTTTTTTTAATTAATGATATTGCATGTTGATATACCCTTACCAAAAATAAGTATACTTTAAGTTTATTTTATTAAGTATACTTAAGTAAAGTTCAAGTATATTTTTAAGTATACTTTATTTAGTAAGCATGCAAATATCAGTGTACTAGTAGTATACTTGTAAGTGTACTATTTCAATACTCCTTGGGACTAAATTGACCCACTTTCTAGTATATAAAAGTATACTTTTAAGTATAACAGTAGTGCAATTTGAGTACTAGTTTACCTCTATGTTTTTAGTTTGTACTGCAACTATACTAAAAGTGAACTTAAAGTAAACTATCAGTATACCTAATTAGATACTTGTAGTATTTTTAGTACACTTTGAAGTATAGTCTCAGTAAACTAATAGTTTAGTAGTTTTATACTGCAGGTATACTCGTACGTTTAAAGTGAACTTTACATCATACTTTAAGTAAACTACTATGTCCCTATTTCAGAATGTGTATATATTTTGTTATATAAATATCTGAACATACAACACATCAAAAGAAAGAACAGGGTATCTGCTTGTAAACAAAAACATTTTATTCTAGCTTCATGCATTCTTACATCATACTTTAAGTATACTACTATGTCCCTATTTATTAATTTGTATATATCTTGTTATATGAAAATCTGAACATACAAAACATCAGAAAGAAAGAACAGGATATCTGCTTGTAAACAATAACATTGTATTCTAGCTTCATGCATTCTTTTTTATAAACACTTGGATGTGGGTAAGTTTCATAAATAAAGAAAACATGACAAAATAAATAAACAACATTTTAAACAAAAAGCTGAAAAAAGACTATGAATTAGATGCAGAATGATAATCAAAACGTAGATGGAGTCCGAAAAGCTTGACAATCATTATTACCTCTTCATGGGTCAACATTTTATTCCGCAACGTTTCAGTTTTGATGCTGTTTTATGTCTGATGATCGTGTTAGAATACATGTGGAAGCATCTGTTGTTTCGGTTTCTTCTTCACTTGTGTTTTTATTTTGTGGAAATTATGTACCTATAAGATGCGTACTAGCGCCCCCTACAGTATAACAATGAAAACGTTCTCGGAGCACAAGG